ATTAAATTTAGTATTAATTTAGATTTAATTTAAATATTCAAATTTTGAGTAATATTTTCAATGACAAAGATAAAAATAATATATTATTGTATATTTTTAATAAATAAGTCTAAAATTTTTAATATTCAAACTTAAAAATATATAAAATATACAAATAATATGAATGAACGGGTTATAATTATGTTTTAATAATCGCAGTTTTTTCGGATTAATATAAATGAATATGTTATAATGACATTTTTATAATTGTTGTACTTTCGAATTAATATGAACGGACATGTTAGAATAATGTTTTTCTAATCGCGGTCATATATATACTAGAGAAAATAAATTCATAGAAATAAATTATATAAAGCAGAAAAAAATATATCACTTATTAGAAAATTATATTTAAATAAAAATAAAAATAAAAATTATATTATAAAATTTGATAAATTATAAATAGTTCCCGTGCGGATGCACGGGATACAATCTAGATAATCAAATTACTTGATATGGAGGTTTGTGTAAGGAAAAGAAATTAGTTGAAGGTTTTTGATTAAGAACCTAAAGAAGCCAAAACTTTCCTTTTAAATTAGTTGAAAACCGTTTAATACTTGAAGCCTAAACTTTCCTTTTTAAATAAGAGTGAATTTATTCTATATCAATGGTTAATCAAAAAATTAAATATATAGCATTCATAAATTAATAATTAGGTAAGTAGCAAAGAGAATTTTTTGTTTTATCCATTACTATCCTTTTAACTTTACTTATTTACATAAATTGCCATTGGTCTTTTTTTTGCACATGATAGTACTGTAGATACTGTTCATCATCGCTAATACTATTCATCTAAGAGAAGATATTTTTTATTATTGGATAACTATTTAGTTAACATAAAATATATGAAAGTTATCGCTATAAGTTTGTGTTAACTTTGTTATCATATAATATACTAACATGTTAACAAATATATATGATAATTATAAGTGGTAACAAATATATCAGATAATTATAACGTGATAATTTCAAAATTTTGTAATAAAATATTAACATGTTATCGCTATAAATATGAAAGTTTGTGTTAAATATGAAAGTTATCGCTATAAATTTGTGTTAGCTTTGTTATCATATAATATATTAACATATTAACAAATATATATGATAATTATAAATGTTAACAAATATATCAGATAATTATAACGTGATAATTCCAAAATTTTGTAATAAAATATTAACATATTAACAATAATATTTTTTAAATATAAAATATTAACACTAATAATCGAGAAATATAGCACATTAACAATAATATAACGATAATATTTATATTTATACATAATTTATATAAAATATTAACAATAATATCAGCATAATATGTATATAAACAGTCATTTATTTAGAATATTGATAATAATTAAAAAATTATCGTGATAACTGTGATATAGCAAAATTTTGGAGAATAAGGGTGATATAGTCTTTTTATAGTGAATAGTTCTATAGGACCTACACTCAAAAGGTATCTCTTAATTTTGATAACATCTATTACCCTTTATTGCAATTACTCTTTAAATAATGAGAAGCCTAAACTTTCCTTCAAATAATGAGTTTTTCTATTTTTGCTTAATCTATATGTGTATATATATACCAAAGACAGACGATAACAGATCAAACTCTATATCCTAAATCTTGAGCTTACCTTTGCTCGTCTTCCTCTGTTTAAGGAGTAGCTATGGCTAAGTATCTAGCTCTGATTTCGTCTCTTCAAAGGAAGAAGAGAAGAGGAAGAGGAATAAAAAGACGAAGAGTAGACGTTTTGGTAGTGCCGGAGGAGATTCCTTTGGAACTCCAGATGGAGATCATGGCTAGATTGTCTGTTAAATCGCTTATGAGGTTCAAGTGCCCCTCAAAGTTTTGGTCTTGTCTTATCCGTTCCCGATTTTTCAGCAACCTTTATCTTACTCTCGCCTGCCCACCTCGACAACCTCGTGTATACATGAGTTTGGTGCACCACCGAGCGTGTATTGATTCAACGCAGGTCTGTCACAACCCCTGCGAATCTGCACTGCTATCATTATCTTTGGACCATCTAGTAATGGTGCTGATGATATGATGTCTTTGGACCAAGATTTGACATTGCCATGGATGGGAGGACACAACACGATGGTTCTTCGCGGCTTGATTTTGAACACCGTTTGCAGAAAGGCGTGTATATATAATCCGGCCACCAGACAAAGCGTAACCTTACCGGCCATCAAATCCAACATCTCTGCACCTCAAAAATATGATCTTAACACTGTCGTCTACTTTCTCGGACATGATCCTGTTCTTGATCAATACAAAGTTGTCTGCACTGTTGCGACAAGTCCAGACATATTTGAGAGTACAACCTCCGCGGATTCGGAGCATTGGGTCTTCGTACTCGAAGCCGGAGGTTCCTGGAAAAGAATCGAGTTTGATCAAAACCCTCACTTTCCTACAAGAAGGGGAGTGTGCATCAATGGAGTTATATATTATTTGGCTTCTTCTAGTTGTTATTCTTGCAGTGTCCTAGTCAGTTTTGATGTTAGAACTGAAGAGTTCAATATGATCAAAGACTTACCTGATGAGATATACAAGGATATGGGTCTCATAGAGTATGGTGGAAAACCAGCTATTTTTGATCAAACCGATCTCCAATACACGGGATTAGTGGACTTGTGGGAATTGGGAGATGGTGGAGAATGGTCGAAGAAATCTCTCGTTTTGCAGCCTTGTCAGATGCATCTATTCGACCACAACGACGACATTGATGAGTTGGTCGTGGAAGGTACAACTCGAAACGGAGAGGTTGTCTTAACAGCGTATGCCTGGAAATTCCCTCGTTACGTTCTATATGATGATCTACAAAAGAATGATATAAGAAAGGTTATAATCAGAAGAATACCGGACCACTGGTTTGGTAAGCCTGATGACTACTACTTCTGTTCTTATATCAAGTTTATGGATAAGAATGAAAGCATCATGCACTTGGAAACTTGAATGCCTTTACCTTTTGTTGTCTTTTTTCCCTATCAATTTGTAATTTTTTTGCCTTTAATTAATAATACAACTAGATTCTAACACGTGCTTCTATATGGGAATTATTTCTTCATTTTATAATATTTTTTATAATATAATTTCAATTATATTCTGGTATTTAAATGTATAGATTTTTTTGTATATTAAATTTTTGTAATATAAGTTAAAGATTTATTAATATAAGTTAAATTTAGAGTAAATATTTGTAATATCTTTAATTTTTATTATGTAGTTGTATTTTTTTGTTATATGTTTATATGTTTATTTAATTATGTGTTTTGTGTTGATTTTTTAGTTTATAAAAATAAAATTTAAAATAAAATTATGTTAGTAAACTAATTGGATTATGTTCAACATTATAACACACATAAATGAGTAGATATTTGCATTTCAATTTCTCTATGTATACTATACACTATCTAATAATAGTATAAAATAATAGGCCTTAATGTTTCTATACTTCTAATAAAAATTCAATTCTTTCAATTCCAATTTAAAAATAAAAATACATAACAAAAACACAAATAAACAGAAAAATATTTGAAGAAAACGGGAGAACACAAAAAAACCAAATTTCTCCTTTTCCTGCTGCCATCCTTCGAAGCTGCGATCCTTCTATTAATTCTCTTTATTCTTTCTCGGTAGAACTCTTACTGCAATACAAAGGAGGCAGTCATGTGTTAGTCAATCGCAGATTCTGCAAATTTTAGGGTTTTATCCTCCAAATTTTAGGGCTTTATCCTTCATTATCGACACTTTGCCACATACCCTCCGCCTAGAATTGTGTACACGGTATTAATGTATTAACTAATTATCATTCCATTTTAAATCACAAAAGTGCCTGAAATCTTATAAAAATTTACATCACAGAGTTAATTGGAAAAAAAATTCGCTGACCATAATTTTTTTGATGCCCAAGAATGATTTTTTTTTTCTCATAATCGTTTATTAAATCTGAAGAAATCATGAATGACAACCGGATAAAATATAAAAATACTATTTTTTTGTCGACTATAAATATACTATTTATAAAAATAATCAAAAGTCTTAAACCAAAAAAAAAATTGTTACTACTTTAATTAATTAAAAATAATTTGTGTATTTGAAAATTTGGATACTAATAATATGATCTAGATGGTGAATCTAAATATGAATAAGAAACAATAGAATTAACTAAACGTCGAAACAAACACATTAATAGTAAACAACGAATACTTAATTATGACAACTTGGATGTTATGTTCCAATCTTTCTCCCTGCGCTCACTAGTTTCCTCATTACCGGCTTTGTCGTAAGACAAATTTTATAAGCCAACAAACCTTTGCCAGTAGTTTGAGCACTTTGAATTGCTGATTTGATTAGAAGCAATCATAGTGAAATATGCTTCAAGACAGTTGAGATTCTTCTCAGAAAATCCATAAAACAGAGCAATTTTCCATTTGAAGACTTAGTACTCTCATTGTACCCAATGTGATCAAAAGTCTTCGTGTTAATGAAATCTTAGCATAGCATAGAATATCTTGAGAAAACCAAATTATACTACCGCAATCCATTGTATAATCTGAAACCAAATTTAAAAATTAAACAAAATTATCATCAATCACATCACAAAACTTTAAATATAAGAAATTCCTTTAATTACCTAAAATCATTTTAATTAGAATAATAGAAAATATTTTCAAAGTTAATTTACATTAATAAATTTAAATTTAAAAACGTTATATTGATTTAATTTTGAAGGCCATTATATTATGGTCCCACTGAAACGCTAATAATATATAATTATATCTACTGCCAAATCCGACAGTATTAAAAAAAACCCATCATTTGTGAAAATTACAAATATTTGATAATTTTTTTAAAAAAAAATTGGTAATTTGTTTACGTGTGATCCAAATGCAAAAATTGATGTTCGAAAATAATGGAAAGGTTTAAAAGAGATTGAAAAGAAGAAGCATCCTTTTATTAAAATCCACAAGTGACAACACACCATCAAGGCAGAGAACATCACACGATCGCATAAAGCATTGACATTAAAATACACAAACAAACATCTGAAAAGCATACTCAATACTTCGAGTGACACAAATCCAAAAGCATGGACCTTATTTTACGGATTCAAGAGAGAAAGAAAACTTAAGAGTATCTCTTTAATTGGTTTTAATGGGCACGACATGGACTCGGAATGAACAAACCACTATCTTTTGCATGGAACCCAACAACGATCTTGTACTTTCCTCCTTTCATTAAGCTCCTCCATTACCAGAACCGATCTCGAAGTAAGCCCCGATGGCATCAATAGCATAACCACCACGTCCAAGGAATCCAAGAAGTTTTCCTCCATTTTCATCTTTGAGATTAAAGTCTTTTCCACTCATCTCACCGAACAATGGAGAGGTAAATCCACGGGAGGTTGTGAAGTATAGCGATGTGATAAGCGTCGTATCATAGTTGAAAATATGATTGTAGGTTCCACCAACGACTGTGATGTAATCTTTTGGATAATCCACCGAAAACTGCATTTCATTTTCAATTAGAAACAAAGAATTAATAATAGTGAACCAACTGAATATTAACATAATTTTAAAAAGCCAATTTATATATTTTAACCTCTTCTAGCTCCCCACGATTTGTCCCATGTTCACGGATTTCGACATTTCCATCCTTTTCATATTCGATCTTGATATAAGTAATACTGTATACGTCTTTCCCAACGGTTACTTTTTTCACACCATCGAAAACACCATCGTCGAATATGTTTCCCTTGTTACCACCGATAGGTCCTATCTTTATAAAAGAGGGAGGTGGGAGAGGGCCAAAATTTGCACCAATAGCATCAATAGCATCACCGCATCGACCACAAAAGCCGACAAGCTTGAAACCTTTCTCCTCAAACACAAATTTTGTGCCAACTACTTCTCCAAAAACAGGGGAGGTTCTTCCTTCTGATGTCTTAAACCTAAGTGATGTAATGTAGCGATTGAAGGTTCCCTCCACTGATGTAACATGTTCATGAGGGTAGTTTACCACAAACTGCCACAAAATACATATTTTTATTTATATTTATTTCGGAATATTTCTCTTTAAACGAAGCTAAACTTAGAATTTGTACCAACAATACCTCATGTGGAGCCTCTTGTCTCTTCCCATGATCATGTGGTACCATTCCTTCGCCTTTTGCATACTCAAACCTAACATAACTCACAAAAGTACTACCTCTTCCAACGAGTATTTTTCTAACACCATCATAAGCACCATCGTCCCAAGAATTCCCTCCATTCCCACCTTGACGGTCAAAGTGCTTAAGAGAAGAATCTTCAGCAAAGAAGTAAGTTCCAATAGCATCAAGAGCTTGACCAGAGCGTCCATGGAATCCAAGTAGCCTGCCTCCATTTTTACTCTCCAACATGAATTCTGTCCCAGCTGGTTTTCCACCGAGTACGGGAGATGTTCTTCCATAGCTGGTTTTGAATATTAGCGATTTGATCAGCACTGTTTCATAGTATATGACACGATCATAGCTTCCACCAACGGATGTGATATATTCATTCGGATAATCCACCGAAAACTGGATTCATTTTTCATTAGAAACAAACATACAAATCATTAGGTTTTAAGAGGTTGATAAAAAAAAACTTATTGAAGAATGAGGAAGTCACTATATATTTAGCACCTCTTGTAGTTCTCCACGAATCGTCCCGTGTTCACGTGTTTCGAATTTTCCGTCCTTTTCGTATTCAATCTTAATATATGATATACAATCAAAAACACCTCCCTCTTTTGCGACAATTATGTTCTTAACACCAACAAAAACACCATCATCGAATGCATCTCCATTTTTACCACCGATGGGTCCCATCTTAATGATAAGAGGAGCTGGAGGAGCTGGTGGAGCTTGTATGGGGCCAAAATTTGCACCAAGTGCGTCAATAGCATCACTGGATCGACCACAAAAGCCGACAAGCTTGAAACCTTTCTCCTCGAACACGAATTTCGTACCAGCCACAGCTCCAAAAACAGGGGAGGTTCTTCCTTCTGATGTCTTAAACTTAAGTGATGTAATGTAGCGATCGAAGGTTCCCTCCACTGATGTAATATGTTCATAAGGATAATTTACCACAAACTGCAACCATATATATAAATTTTCTTTCTTTTAGAATATTTATGTAAACACGAAACTAAACATAAATTTTGCATCAACAATGTTGACTTAAGCTTGAAGTTAACTTGATCAGCAAACTTAGATATTTCTTATTAGGATTAGGATTATGTTTAGAAGTTGTCTAAACATACTTAGGAGTTATCTAAGAAAAAGAAATTAGTATTTCTAATAGAAAAAGGACTTGATCTATATATAAGGAGATGCTAGGTTGTGGCATAACTTATGAGTTTTGAGAGAGGCTTTAGTTTTGAGTGATTTCCTAAAGCTTAATAGTAATTCTTTATCAAACTTGAGTTCTTAAACATCTTTAGATTCTATAAACAATACCTCCTGTGGAACTTCGTGTCTCTGCCCATGAGCATGTGGTACCATTCCTTCTCCTTTTGCATATTCAAACCTAACATAACTCACGAAATTGTTACGTCGTCCAACGAGTATCTTTCTAACACCATCATAAGCACCATCGTCCCATGCACTTCCTCCATTGCCACCTTGAAGGTTAAAGTGCTTAAGAGAAGAATCTTCAGCAAAGAAGTAAGTTCCAATGGCATCAAGAGCTTGACCAGAGCGTCCATGGAATCCAAGAAGCTTTCCTCCATTTTTACCCTCCAGCATGAATTCTGTCACAGCTTGTTTTCCAGAATAGTTTGTCTCACCGAGTACGGAAAATGTTGTTCCATAGGTGGTTTTGAAGATTAGCGATTTGATGAGCACTGTTTCATAGTATTTAACATGACCATAGCTTCCACGAACAGAAGTGATATATTCATTAGGATAATCCACGGAAAACTGGATTCATTTTATCGTTAGAAACAAACAAATCAGTAGCTTTAAAGGGTTTGATAAGAATGATTACAGAATAAGGAAATCACAATATTTTTATTACCTCTTGTAGTTCCCCACGAATAGTCCCGTGTTCACGGGTCTCAAATTTCCCATCCTTTTCGTATTCGATCTTGATATATGATATACAATCAAAAACACCTCCCTCTTTTGCGACAGTTATTTTCTTAACACCGTCACAAACACCATCATTGAATGCATCTCCATTGTTACCACCCACTGGTCCCATTTTTTCCGACATGATTTCCTTCTAGGAACTTTACAAAAACCTGAAAGATTGAATCAAGAAGCAAAAAAACTTAGTAGATTGTTATTTCAAACTTCACATAGTTAAATAGCTCGGGATTTTCGTAAAGTATGTAAGAACATGTACAACAACATAGAACCGTTAGGAATTCTGAGAATATAAGGATGTATTTAAAATAGGCAGTCCATACCTTTTGAGAGGACTCTGAGAATAGTTTAAGTATCGTTTTCGTTACATTTGCAGTTAAAATAATTTATTGGACTATTGAAGATCATACTGAAAACCCTATATATAACAACTATACTATTTCTTAAAAACAAAATATAATAATTTACAAGAACAATTAATGCATGGCCGGTTATCAAATAGAAAACAATAGATGCATCATGCATGATGCATGGCAAGACCGTAAAATACAAAAACTAGGACGAAATTGTATATTAATTATACTGCCCTTTTAACAAAAACATAATGATATATGTTAGTATGATAATGTGCTTAGAGAATTTCGACCCAAAAAATGTGAATATAGAATCATTGAAAAAAAGAAGGCAAATTGAGAAAGAGAGAGACCTTCAGGTTGGAGAAGAGCTGTCAGTGAGGATGATACTGGATTTGGGGTAGTGCAATACTCCCTATATATAGACACTCGTTTTGCAGTGTTTTAGTTTTTTACACTCCGTATATAAAATTGACTCAGATCATTTTTGAGTTTCATCACATGAATTTTATAAGTTTACTGTTTTAACAAATTTGATAATTAATGTGAACTCACCTATACAAGTACTTTACGACATTGACAGCAGTTGCGATTCTAGAAAACAGTTATATTTGTTTAAAACGTGAGAATTGCTTTCCTGCGTGGTGTACGAAAAAATTAAAATAAAGAAAGGGCTGGACTAGCTATCAAACAAAAATACAGAGCAAAATTAGAGAAATGACAAAAAAAATTTAGAAACTATATTCACCATTTCTCATCATGGCATTACGTTTTTAAAATATAGAGATTTAGTAGGTGTTTTAAACTATTATGTAGGATATTATAGCTAGGTTAATGTTCTTAATTTATGGTGGTTTTTAAGCGTCCTTTAGATGTTTAAAAATCTTTTATCGATTTCTTTTTCCAGGTTCTAGGTTGCTTTTGAGGAAAATGAACCATTTTAGGTGCAAATGAGCATATGAAAATTCAAAATCATTTTGAGACCTCATAGTTTTTGAATTCGTTGAATAACTTTCCACTGATGGATCAAGTTTAAATTTTGATGCACGAGAGAGTGAATCCCAACAGTGCGGTCGAAAGTTATGTCAAACTTTGGAAAGTCAGTTTAGTCTAGAAAAGGGAAAAAGCATGTGCCAAAAATTTCAAGAGGCCAAATAGATCTGTTGAGACTTGGTGATGAAAATCACCTGAATTGGACTTGAACTGGACTGGTTTGTCAATTAGAAAGATTGGTTAGTTTTCTTTCTATGGTTCACGGTTAGTTAGATTAAACCGTTTTGACTCTTGTAATTGACTTTACTATATAAGTAAAGCGTGTGTGTATAGATCCTCTCTCTAGCCTAGAGTGTTACCGTTGTAAAGGATTAGAGAGAGAAGGTGCAATTCTGTATCGAAGAAGACGATAGTGAATTGCTGGGTGTTTTGCCAGGCCGAGACGTAGGGATTTTCTCATATCGAGGTCCCGAACTCATAAAATTCTCTTGTGTTCTTTCTTTCTTGCTAAATCGGTAAATCTACGAATCAAGTTCTAAAAGAGAAATCGAGTGTGTGAGAGTTGAGTGAAAGTTTGTATTCGAATCAGTTTTGTGCGATCTAATTCCGTGTTGTTGAGCTGGATTCCTCAACAAGTGGTATAAGAGCCATGTTCAAGATTCGAATCAATGGCGGATGTGAAAACGAGCATCGCGGTGTTCGATGGTCAAGGAAACTTTTTGATCTGAAAGAAAAGAATGTTCGCTCATCTATCGATTCTTGGATTGAAATCGTTCTTATCGGATAGTGCATTCTGCAAAGTCGAAGAAAATAAAGGAGAAGAAGAATCTGCCTTTGAAGAAAGAAAAGCGAAAGAAGAAGCAGATTGGATAGAGAAAGAAGAAAAGGCTATGAACATTCTGATCTTGAATCTCGGGGATCAAGTTCTTCGGAAACTCGATGAATGTAAATCTGCAGCTGCGATCTGGTCCACTCTTGAAAGGTTATACAATACCAAATCACTTCCAAATCGTATTCATCTTCAACACAAGTTTTATACATTCCGAATGATAGGGACTAAGACTATAGATCAGAACGTTGATGAATTCCTGAAGCTAGTCTCGGATCTAGGAAGTGTAAAGGTTTCAGTTTCTGAGGAAGTTCAAGCTATCCTGCTCTTGAGTTCTCTACCTCAAGCCTTCAATACCCTAAAAGAAACACTGAAATATGGTAGAGAGACTCTATCAATGGAAACGGTGATTAGTGCTGCAAAGTCAAAAGAAATGGAGCTGCAAGAGGTCAAAGCCTCAGGAAATCAAAAGATTGGTGAAGCGTATGCAGTTCGAGGAAGGTCTGAAAGAAGAGATACGGGAAAAGACAGGGGAAGTAGCAGATCACGATCTAAATCAGGTTCCAGGATAACTTGCTGGTACTGCAAGAAAGAAGGACATCTGAAAAAGGACTGTTTTGCAAGAAAATGAAAAATGGAAAGTGAAGAAGGAGCTGAGGCTGTCGTAGTCATAGATGTGACTCAAGAAGGTGGAGCTCTCACAGTATCTGAGAAATGGCACGAAGAGAAGTGGGTTATTGACTCAGGATGTTCATATCATATGACATCCAGGAGGGATTGGTTTGATACATTTGAGGAGCTCTCGTCAGGACAAGTCTTGCTTGGAGATGATAATGCTGTAGCCGTTGAAGGGATCGGATCCATAAATATCAAAGCCTTTGGAGGATCAGTCAAGCAGCTTACAAATGTCAGGTATATTCCAAAACTGAAACGGAATCTTATATCTACTGGAACATTAGATAGACTACGATTCGAACATTCTGGTGGTCATGGAAAAACTAGATTCTATATGAATGGAAAGCTAGCGTTACAAGGTATTCTGGTTGGAACGTTGTATTTGTTGGATGGTAAAACGATTTCAGGTCAAGCAAAGAGCAATGTGTCGCAACAGAAAAGGAATGATGAGACGGTTCTTTGGCATAGACGTCTTGGACATATGAGCATGAAGAACCTGCAGATATTGGTCAGGAAAGGAATTATCGACAAAAAGAAAATTGGGAATCTCAGTTTCTGTGAGAGTTGTGTTATGGGTAAGCATAAGAAGCTAAGCTTCCATATTGGCAAGCATGACTCAGGAGAAGCTTTGAGATACATACATTCGTACCTTTGGGGCTCTCCATCTGTTACCCCAAGTCTGTCTGGAAAACAGTACTTCTTGTCTATAATTGATGATTACACCAGAAAGGTGTGGGTTTTCTTTCTCAGTGTCAAGAGTGAAGCTTTCACAAAGTTCTGTGAATGGAAGAAGCTTGCAGAGAATCAACTGAACAAGAAAGTAAAGTATCTTCGCACTGATAACGGGCTTGAGTTCTGCAACAATGAGTTTGATGAATTCTGTAAGCAACATGGCATAGAAAGGCACCGTACCTGCACATACACTCCACAACAAAATGGTGTTGCAGAGCGTATGAACAGGACAATAATGGAGAAAGTCAGATGCTTGCTGGATGAATCAGGTTTAGAAGAAGCATTCTGGGCAGAGGCGGTGTCAACCGCAGTATATCTGATTAACCGGAGTCCATCTACAGCCATTGATAGTAACATTCCAGAGGAGTTATGGCTGGGAAGGAAACCGGGTTACAGTCATCTGAGGAGGTTTGGTTCTCTACCATATGTTCACACAGATCAGGGCAAGCTCAAACCGAGAGCATTGAAAGGAGTTTTTGTCAGTTATCCCTCGGGTGTGAAAGGTTATAAGGTTTGGCTTCTGGATGAACAAAAATGTGTGATCAGCAGAAACGTGGTATTTGTTGAAAACAAGGTATACAAGGATGTAAAAGATGCACCAAGTGACAGTTCTCAACATACTGAAGTTGACAAAACAAGTGAGTTGGTTCTTGAATCTGCACTGGGTACGAAAGCAACAAAGAAAAATAGAAGCATCAGTGAAGATCAAGAAGCTGAAACTGAAGAAGGAAACAGTTCCGAGATAGAGTCAGAAGGAGAGGGTGTTAATAACTATCAGTTGGCCAGAGATAGGCCAAGAAGAGAGATTGTTCTTCCCACTAGACTTCAGGACTATGATATGGCGGCATTTGCGTTCATTGCAGCTGAGGAATTGAGTCTTGAGGAGCCAAGAGACTATCAGGAAGCCATACGTAGTAAAGATAAGGATTTCTGGAATGGAGGTATGGATGAAGAGATGAGTTCTCTTGACAAGAACGAGACTTGGATCTTAGTGAAAAGGCCTAAGAACAGGAAGGTAATCGGCTGCAAGTGGGTCTATCGACTTAAACCAGGCATTCCAGGCGTAGAAAAACCAAGGCATAAAACCAGATTAGTCGCTAAGGACTATGCACAGAAAGAAGGGATTGATTATCAGGAGGTGTTCTCGCCCGTTGTGAAGCATGTGTCTATTAGATTTCTCCTATCTGCAGTTGTGAATCAAGATTTGGAACTTGAAAAACTAGATGTAAAAACGGCATTCCTACATGGGATCATTGAAGAAGAGATATTCATGGAGCAGCCAGAGGGATATGAAATAAGAGGAAAGGAGGACTATGTGTGTAAACTTCAAAAAGCATTGTATGGGCTTAAGCAAACACCAAGGCAATGGAACAAGTGCTTTGACCAGTTTGTAATCAGTCATGGGTTCGTTAAGAGTGACTACGATCATTGTGTTTACATAAAGGAAGCAATGTGATGGTCTACTTGTTGCTTTATGTAGACAACATGTTACTCGCCTCTAAAAATAAGGCTGAGATAAAACGTGTGAAGGATTTGCTAGGCAGTAGGTTCGAAATGAAAGACCTAGGGCCTGCACGGAGAATACTCGGAATGGACATAGAGAGAGACCGAGAAGGTGGGGTTCTTGCCTTATCACAGTCTGGATATGTGAAAAAGGTCCTTCAAGTGTTTAATATGGCTGATGCGAAGTCTATTACTAAACCTATTGGGGCACATTTCAAATTGTCAGCCATCAGAGAAGATGATAAAGAAAAGGTTATGGAAGATGTTCCTTATGCAAATGCGATTGGAAGCATTATGTATGCAATGATTGGTACCAGGTGTGATCTTGCTTATGCCGTAGGATTGGTGAGCAGATTCATGAGCAAACCTGGACAGGTTCATTGGTCTGCTGTGAAGTGGGTATTGAGGTATCTTAAGGGTACGCAAGATTTGAAGCTCGTATTTAGGAAGAGAGATGAGTTCAAAGTTGAGGGTTTCTGTGATTCTGACTTCTCATCGGATCTGGATAGACGGCGTTTTATCTCAGGGTATGTTTTTACAGTTGGAGGGAACACAGTCAGCTGGAGATCAAGTCTTCAACATGTGGTGGCTCTCTTGACTACTGAGGCTGAGTATATGGCTTTGGTTGAAGCAGTAAAAGAGGGAATTTGGTTAAAGGGCTTGGCTGAAGAGTTCG